ACGCATCATCAAAAATATGTTGACTCGTATGGAGAAGGATCAGAGTATCCTCACTGTTGAGGATTTTTCTCGATGTTTGCGTCAAGCGTTTGCTGCTAAGAATTCCTTGAGCCGAGTCAATGGCTTTACCCCAGAGCAATGTCTACTGGGAAAGTCAAGGCGCCTTCCAGGCTCTCTTACCTCAGACTTCGATGCGGCCAGTCACAGCCTTGCAGAGAGCTCGTCCCCAGAGGGTATCCGTTTTCGAGCGGCCTTGCAGCGTAGGGAGAGTGCCCGGAGAGCCTTTGTACAGGCAGACAACGACTCGTCATTTCGACGAGCTCTCTTGCGACAGAGTCGGCCAGGTAAGGTAGAATATGAAAAAGGTGACTGGGTCTTATATTGGCGACGAACAAAGGGAAACAATCGTATCGAGCGGGGTAGGTGGTATGGTCCTGCACAGGTCATTGTTTCAGAGAAGCCCAAAGTCATCTGGCTTAGTCACCTTGGACGTGTCATCCGTGCCAGTCCCGAACACATCCGACCAGCATCCTTGAGGGAATATGCCAATCTGCCTAGAGATGAAAATGGGGAAGTTCGGGATGAGAAACCACAGGGAAGAGGGTTTATTGATTTGGGGAGTAGTGGAGGCATGGGCCCTGGAACCCCCGAAAATGGGAACCCTGAAGTAGAACCTCATGAAAACATGGCAGCTGGCATACATATTCCTGAGCCACCGGTTTCCGAATTTTCATATGCTCCAACGACTCCTCTGGAAAGTCAACCAGACGGGGAGCAATTTCCGAGTGGTGTTTCCGAGCCTATGGATGAAGCTTCCGAAGAACCCCCTCAACAGGTTGAAGAAACCCCTGACCTGAATGATGGTAGGTTTGTTCCTGTTCCGGATAGTGATGATGGTCTGTGTGTTTTTGGGGATGATTTGGAAGTGTGTGAGGATGGTTGTGGGGTTTGGGAGTTAAACCTGGTAGACCATGACATGGAAACACCGGTGGCTGATCTCCTTTGTCAGAACCCCCAAGTTTTTGAGGATGTTTTTATTGCAACAGGGGATCGAAAGAAGAGGGTTGAAGTCGACTATCGGAGGTTGGGTCCCAGTGATCAGAAATTGTTTGATGTGGCAAAACAAAAGGAGGTCAAGGCTTGGTTGGATCATGGCACAGTGAAACGTTTGGCCAAAGGCACCTTGCATCCAGAACAAGTGATGAGGTGTCGGTGGCTCCTGACTTGGAAGGATCCTCTGCCTGGCAACACCGAGCGCAGAGCAAAGGCTCGCCTGATCATATTGGGTTTTGAAGATCCTGGTATCGGTGTGGTACCAAATGACGCTCCAACTCTTTCCAAGGATGCCAAACAGCTGTTGCTTCAGAAAGCTGCCAGTTGCCGATGGGATCTGATTAACTTTGACATTTCAACAGCCTTTCTCAAAGGGGAAGGTGATGGCAGACCTCTTGGAATTCATCCACCGGGAGAAATCCGAAAAGCCCTGCATATGAAAGAGGGTGACCAATGTGGTTTAGAGGGGGGAGCCTATGGCAGGGTAGATGCTCCCTTTTTGTGGTATCGGGCCTTCAAAGCAACGTTGGAATCGCTGGGCTTCTTGACATGTCCCATGGATGGTTGCCTGTTTAGTTTGGTGACACCTGATGCCAAAGGCAAACCTAAGGTTAGAGGAGTTTTGGGTATTCATGTTGACGATGGCATCGGTGCAGGTGATGAATATTTTAAAGGGGTCATTGCCAAACTTCGGAGTATCTATGATTTCGGGGCTTATAATGAGAGGGAATTTGATTTTTGTGGGGTCCACTATAAGCAGTGGGATGATGGGACTATTGAGATGGATCAGATGGGGTACCTCCAAAAGATAGAGCCCATAGAAATTTCCCGAAATAGAAGAGGACAACCCGAAGAAAATGTCACAGAGGTGGAGCGACAACAGCTTCGCCGGTTGTGCGGCAGTTTACAGTATGGAGCAGTGCACACCCGTCCCGACTTGGCTGCGAAAACCGGCCAATTGCAGGCCATTGTAACAAGAGCCAAAGTGAGACATCTCATTGAAGCCAATCGAGTGTTATATGAAGGAAAAACTCATCCGGTTTGTTTGATGTTGGTACCTATTCCTGAAGATCGTGTTGCTTTTTGTGCCTTTTCTGATGCTTCTTTTTCAACTTCTAAGGATTTGTCTTCACGTCAGGGAACGTTGATATTTTCAACGGACACTCGGCTGGCTCAAAATGAGCGCACTGTCGTCTGCCCCATTGCATGGAGCTCACGGAAAATACCTCGAGTTGTAACTTCAACTTTAAGTGCAGAATCGATGGCACTCAGCTCAGCCCTGGACAGATTGGGATACATCAGAGTGATGTGGGAATGGTTGAAAGATCCGGCAGTAGACTGGGCGAATCCTAGTCAAGTTTTGGCCAAAGCACCCACTTCCAGCGCAGTGACTGATTGCAAGAGCGTCTACGATCTGGCAACAAAGACCTCTGTCCCAGTCTGTACAGAGTACAGAACAACTTTAGAATGTTTGCTCATACGTGAGCGCCTTAGAGAGAACGTAGCTATGCGTTGGATCAGCACTCAGGCTATGCTGGCTGACTCCTTGACAAAGAGTATGGATTCAGGCATGTTGCGGGAATGCTTGAAGTCAGGGCGATATACTTTGTTTGACGAAGGAGAAAGCTTGCGACAGAGAGCTTCCAAGCGTGAGCGGTTGCAGTGGCTGAAAGATGGAACTGCTTCCAAGGAACATGGATGTGATGGGAAATAAACTTTTTAATCTTTTTGATTTTTGACCAGTGTGAAACCACTTGTCATACACATCCATGTCTCAGGTTCCATTGACCTTTAACAGCTTTTCACTGCTTGCATCCATCGCCGGCCGCCTCGCCGTCCTTAGTGGTGGGCGGGACAGGGCATTGAGCCTTGGTAGGAGCTACGGGTGAAACAGGAAGCAGCAGCAGGGTCTCTGCATTGGGTTGATCAGGCTGGCAGGGTTCAGCTTTCCGGTAAGGTGTGATTGGGGATCCCACTAAACATTCGCAGTACATATATATATATATATGTATATTTATATATATATGTATGTGTATATGTACATATATATATATATATGTATGTATACATATATATATGTATATGTGTGTATATATATATATATATGTACGTACATATGTATACATATATGAATATAAATGTCTAAATATAATAAGTGCAGTTGTATAAAATACATGACATATCTATATACATTGCTAGTATGTAGAGTGGAGGATCACAATAATTGCTGTTTAACAGGTTGGAAAGAAAGGCTTTGTCCCATCTTTGATACACTGAAGTCTGCAGAACTGTCTGTGGTCTGGTGATTTCCACGCGAAATTAGTGGACCTACCAGCAGATCATCAGCCTTGGAATCTTCACAGCCCCATTTCATAGGCGATTCCTGAAACACTTCTGAAAAGTCAGTTGGCATAGCGAGAATAGCCTCCTTTTTGTTGCCTTTTCTTAAGACATAGACTTTCTTTTGACCTGGATCACCCCACCCCTCACTTTTGCGGAGTTTTTTTCGATATATTTACCTGTATTATTCTTTTGCTGAAAGAGTTTGTCGATTTTACCCACGTGTACCCATCATTTTTGTTGGACCCCCCAATTTTTCACAGCCGACCTGCAGCAGGGCCAACTGCCCCTCCGTGGGCAGATCCACGGTCAGTGGGCTGGGAGAGCGATTGCGGCGCTTCATGGCGATGCACAACGTGTCACAGATGGATTTCTGGTAGACTATGGTTCATTTATGGGTCTATGGTTGATCTATGGTTGATATTTATGGATATTTATGGATATTTATGGATATTTCTGGTTTGTAAATGTCAACCAACATGAAAAAAACATTGAGGGATTCCAATGATTCCCCTCGAGGTTAGATATTGTGGTCCAGTAATGTGCTCTGCAAAAAAGTGACAAGTAATGTGATTTTTAGCCAATGGGATGATGTAAAATGACCACCAGTCATGGTTGGTTAATGGGGTGTGCCCATTAAGGATGGTTGGCATGGCGGTTTAGCACGAACGTGCATGAATGGTGCCTTGTGAAACACCTGGATGATGTTCCATGTTCCCTACATCGGGACACAAAAATTGCTCCAATCAGCAGACTGCTGTGATTGCTTGGTCTGTTCTTGAGAAACACACGCCTTTTAGCTGCAGAATTAGAGAACTCGTAACATATTTTCCCGTATCTCCCAGGGAATCTGCGCATTTTAATGGCATGGTTCCCACAAGTGTCCATCATGAGTTGTATATCTATTTCAGCATCCTACAGAGCCAACAAGCAGCAAACCAGTCATCCCAACAAAAAGGGCCACAGACGGCCACTGAAGGTGCTGAAGTGGAGGGACACATGATGGATCCATCTTTTTTGGAGCTCCTGAACGAGAACATGAAATATATGAAATATATGAAATCATATGACTTAGGGGAAACACCCCGAATGTTTGTGGACATTCTGTAGTCGTTTTTGCTTCTGCTGAGCCGTTGATTCATATCATCCCTGTTGGTTACCACCTCCCACTCTTTGAGGGGGAAGCTTTCTCGTGAAACACCAGTGTGTCATTGGGTTTTACCACTGTTTCGTTGATTGAACTCCGAAGGTTGAAACTGCAGTCTTTTGTTGGAGTCCCTCAGAATTCTTGATTCGAGTCCTTGTGTTGAAGAAACATTCCCATTTCTCGGGGTGATGTTGCGTACCGCCGTACTGCCGAGACTTAGTGTCATGTGGCCCTTTTCCGGGAATCGATGATGCGATGTGACTGACAAATGAGTGGACTTCGTCCATTGCAGTAGCCATTGCAGTACCTCTCCTGCTAGGCGCTTCTGCCGCTGTTGGCGTTTTTTGGCTAGCTGCCAAGCACAACCATGAACCTCTGCATGAACATGTGAATCTAGTCATTCTCCGAATGAGTCTGGCAAACCTGATCTAAAGTCACAACATGTACGTCACCAACACTATCATACAGCAATCAGCATCTGTACACGATCATAACCAATCATCACTCGATCGTCAACGAACAATGTGACGTCCCATTCTGAGTGTCGCCTCAGCTCGGATATTCAAAGGCTTCCAGCATCAGAAGTGTCTCCCAAAGCGCCAGAGAGGACCAACGCCGTGACCAAAACCTGTCGCAGGGTCAACGATGAAAATGCTGCATGGTGGTGCAGTTGGGATGAAAACATGGGTAAAACCATGGCTATGGTTCTTAACAAGCATGTTAGTTGATGGTAGTTGGGGGTGCAGTTCCTTAGTCTAATAAAATCTAAACTTGACCCGAACCATTTTGGAATTTCATCCTCATTCAACTGACGATGTGACCTCCGATTTCACGCAGCGTCGTAGGTCAGATTCAATATCACCTATCAGACCTATCAATATTCTCGTCTTGACGTAGTAACTAAGTAGTACTCCGTTCCTAACCAGACATCTGCTGTCAAGCTAACTCGATCCAAACTCTTACCTTCCAGTAAACCAACTTAGCTATGGAAATCCATGGCTTCTCTTCGAAATGATGCACAAACGTTCATGTTCCATATCATTTTGTCGGTTCACCGACAGGAAGGTATTTAGCAATATTCCATTGACATTGACATTCCGTTCATATTTCGCTATATTTTGATTATATCCCCATTTTTTGGGTGCCAAACAAGTAGTCCCAAAATGCCAAAAATGCCCCCTGTCCCAGTCGCATGGTCCGAGGCGCTAGAAAACCAAAGGCCACTCCCACAAACAGGTAGAGCCTCAAAACGGTTGTGAACCCGGGAAAAAACAGGGAAAACCGGGAAACTGGGGAAAACTGTGGGACCCCCAAGGTCGGTTGAAACAAAGATGGGAAAGTCATGGTGATCATCATCCAAAGCCGAGGTAGTTGGAGGTATTCCGATCAATGGGGCCCCATCAGAAACTCCAAGACCCCATGATAGGTGGTAAACGAAGCCTATTTCCATCTGGTTTATATTGAATATCCAGCCATCATTCCAGATTCGTTTGATGGGGATTCCGGTTATCACAAAAAGACCCGAAGCCCTTAGCTGAGAATTCTATCAGTTAGCCTGTGCTACCATACATATGCACCACCATTTGTGGTGTGATTCCCTTTTCTTTGCAGGTCTCAATGAATTGGTTTAAGGGAACATTTACAGAAACCACATGGAAACAAATATGGTTTCCTGCACATTTTCTCTTAAGCCAATCCACTGACTCAAGAGAAACTGTCTCTTTTCGGTTGGAAGATGATTTCCGCTGGAAGGAGTCAGTGTTGGCTTCCGTGTGGGTTTGCCTGAAAATGGTGTCTCCCAAAACGGCAATTTTCGGGCGATGCTAGACAATATCTATGTATGCGCATATATATATATATTTAGACACATGTTGAATTATATATATATATATATCCCATCACATCTCATGACATCCCACATGTATTCTATTCCCATAGCTGGTTTAAGCAAATTCCGATTTGTTGGTCAAGCTACGACTGCGCGCCGTCTTGGCCCATGGATCCAGCCATCCTCGGAAGCGATGGTATCCTCCATTCATCTAGCTATATCCCCAGTCATAAGCTGGCAAAATCCTGAAATCTGTTGCTTAAAACCCCCTCACCCATTTCTTAGCTGGCAAAACCTTCAGATCTATTGTGACATCTGTTTTTCAATATGGTTAAGCTCTTTCCCATCGTGAAATATGCATAATTTTAGGTGAAAGATGATTAAATAACCATTGGTCTGCATGAAAATTGGGGCACTCCTAAATCCAATGGTTAGTCATAATGTCCCTGAAATTCAAATCATTCTGTTGCTGATCTCCCAGCGGTCGCTAAACAGCCGCCAACAAAAAACTGGTCTCGGTAGTGGCATCATCCCCACACGACACTTGAAATTGCCCTGGCCACAACACATTATATATATATTATCATCATTATATGCCCATAAAATGATTTCGATGGCTGGTCGAAAAACCCACATTTTGGGGAGTCAAAATGGAACATCCCCAATTTTCTAATCATTGGGCCCACATGTTCGTTGGTTAACCAAGGTTTCTTCCTAAAAATCCTTTAAAGTCCCTCAACACATCCGTGAAAAAACACCAATGGGATGGAATCCATATGACATAGTCTATCTAAAACTCCATCTATAAAAATCACCATACTATTTTTTTTAACCATTTAGTCTATCTATTTACCATTCCATTTAGACTATGTGATATAGTTCTGGGTTCTGTTACTACAGAACTTCCATGGTAAAAAATCATGGTTTCACAGGCTCACACTCCATCCACGGCACTGCCCCACGGGCGAATCCTTCAGCAGCTCCTGCGCAGCCTTGCGTTCCTCCGCTGTGGGCTCGGCACGCCTGCTGCAACGGCCTGGGGATGGGCTGTGCATCAAATGGGTGTCTAATGGTGGTATCTATGGGTGTATGATCTGTATAATTGTGGTATCTGTAGATTTGTGTTTTTTCTCTTTTACTTCTTGATCCCCTTCCACCTCCTTTGTCTTTCCTTCCTTCCCCGTCCCCGCTACGAAATTTGTTGCTCATTATTGGAAGAAGTTGACTTGTGGGGTTATCCGGTCCTTTAATTTCTTTTTTTTGTTGATATTCAAGCCAGATGTATCCGTCAGGAATATGTACTCCCCACTTCCCCGTGGACCCCGACGCGGCCGCCTCCTCGTCTGTTCGTTTGGAATGCGATGGTGTCGCGGGACAGGGTGCCGCGGGCAAACCTGAAGCAAACGCATGGGAGCAAACGCATGGGAATTCATACCATGTCGAGGGGAGTCAAAAGGGGAGATCAAACCAAAGTAATGTGGGTAAAACAATGTCATAAACCACCCATTTGGGAATGGTAAGCCTGCCACCTATAAAAATGGTGATGGCTGGGGGATGGTTTATGGCATTGTTTTACCCACATTAGTGGTTATATTTGGTCAACCCAACAGTCAAACCTCCAATTAGGGTTGGCTAATGGGATTTCCATGATACCACCTAAACCAATGACAGGATGTTTGAGACATTGGTGAGTCAACGCCAAAGTCGTGGTCTCTACCTGACTCTTGATCCATTTCAATGTGATTGTTTTGAAGATGGCCAGTTTTGATCCTTTATGTTCAACGCCAAACCCAAGAATTTGGATTTGTAATTATTGTTCTTTTCCGGAACGGACCAGAAATCCAGGATTTTCCCAAAACAAACCTAAGATCCCCAGCACATAATTGCTGGTTGAATCCCATTCGATCCCGATGTTTTTGGGCAACAGGGCGTCTATTTTTTTGCAGGTCATCACCATATTTTGGTATATTTTTGGCCCAACAAAAACCACATATGCCCAATATGCCCATAATGCCGGTGGTTTCCTGAATGCACCATCTATGGTTCGGCGGCTCTCGAACGAGACGAAGGAAAGGGCTCCTGTGTATTTGGGCTCATCAGGTTCATGGCTGAGGGGGATTTAAGCAGCAAAACATGAGCAAATCACAAATGATATATGGGAATATAAACATGATGGTATGATGGGATATATGATGGGATATGATGGAATAGAATATATATATATATGGGAATATGATGAGGCCAATTTGGATTGTCACTGGATGGTTTTTTTCGCACAGCGAAAAGATCCCTTCATGGATGATCTTCTGACGAGCTGGACAATTCAGAGGAAAATCATTTTCCGTTTTCCACCACAAATGTGTGCGTTTCCATTAAGCTTTGGTAAAGAAGATTGGTCACAATATGTCACAGTCTTAGTTTAGCAACACAGATATTTGGTAATGTTCATTGAGATAAATTTCAATTGATCGATTGAATCAATCTACGGAATTGCCACTGCTGTCCTGACAACACCACAGATGCCAGCAGCAAACCATACCTCGCTGTGACGATTTTCAAAGCGGTTTCCGTCAGTTAATGGTAGGAAGAGGTCCGGTGCATTTTTTTAGGGACTCCAAAGTTCAAAAAATCCGACCCCTCTTTCGCTTGAAAAAAACTTCAAAGTTTGACACATCCAAACAAATTGGAAATCAAAGCTCCAAGTCAAGAGTAGAACTCCTGGGGCCTGATGAGGTGTGAACTTGGTGAACTTGTGCTCCCCTCACCAAGAAAAAAACATCTAGCGACATGGACACCCGGCTGCTCGAAGTCTATACGGCTTACCTATGGAAACAGGAATGGTGAACGGGTCAATTTTGGGCTACCCAATTTTCGAACAACCCATATTTTGCCGAACACCGATGGGACATCCTCCTACCGGAGCAGCGGCCTCCTTTTCACCATCTTCATGGCAGTGGCAAAGAAAAAACTGTGCCAAAGTTGATCAAACTATATGGCTCTGCATCATTGAGTTTCATGATTTTGTCTTGTATCGCCATCATTTTTGCTCAAACCATCCGTCTTTGTGCATGAGACCGTGAACTTATTTGGCTGGTCAAGAAACTGCAAGGCCTAGAAAGGACCAGTACATCTGCGTTGCAGAGATTTCGACCTTTACTCCAATGTCTTTTTTTTAGCCATTGCTTGGAAAAACAGTACAGGAACTTGGGGCAATTTTTTCCTGGTTTGCAATTTTTTCCATGGATCGCATTCGCAAATTCCACTGGTTTGCGTTGTCTTGGAAGCAGCTTCAAAGACGCTGACAGCTATGCAGGGAGCGGCACCCTAGAAGATCCGTCCATTTTCCAGGGAAACAGTCTAGGTTTTACCATCTTTGTACATCTTCGTTTAACCGTCAAACATAATGTTTTCTGGTTGATTTTCACTTCCAAATGTTGGGAGCCAACCGAGCCAACAGACATGTTGACCTCTTACGTTTCGGGTAGTCAAAAGAAACAACCTACAGGTTGGATGGTTGTGTGGAAAGACACAAGCCAGAAAGCTGGTTTTGACATGATTACAATTAGATATAATTAGCAGTTTACACTCATTTTCCCTCAAGCATTGATTCTAAATTTGTTGATCTACTGGACATAATGGAGCCGACATAATTGACAGCTTGTTGGTTTCACCCAATCCCCACAAATGATGGAAGAATCATAAATGTGAAACCGCCAGTTCTAGAATCCTAGAACTGCAGCTTCATCTGTTGATTTGCTTAAAGGATCTTAAAAGATCTTAATGGACTTTCTGTTCTCAAGTTTATCAACTGGCCGCACTGGTTGAAAAGCTGGAGATCAACTCACCTGGGGGAAAGAGATCCAGATATTTTGGAGTTTCCATTGAAAAAGTACCACTCGAAAAAAATTCAGACACGTTAACCATTGCCACTATTTGACCAGTTTATTTTCACACATCGATCCTTTTTTGGGGTGACTATCTCAGCTCTTCCACATGGATCCAGGCGATCATCACATGCTACGTGCCTCATGCGCCAACCCAACCTTGTCCGAGAGAGAAACACAGGGCAGCAAGAATCACCACATGAAACAGCATGAAACTATCTCACCAAGGTTTACTTAGACATCATCACTTTAAAACATGTTGGGGAGGTTTTCCGATCTGATGCACTTGGGTTTGGGCAAGCATGGATCCAATCAGAATGGGGATAGCATCTCAACTACCAGAATGGTGATGTCCAAACTCCAACAGGTCCACTTTTTTTTTGGAACCCCAATTTCAGGGATGGATTAACTAATTTTGACTCTTCCGAATTCTGTGGGTCTATGGATTGAGCCATGGTTTGTTCGAGTCATGGATCCTAGGAGTTGTTTAGTATCATGTCTTCAACAACCCATCGCAGTGATTGGATGGAGTTTTGTACTAACTTTGAGAAGCAGCAGAAGTAAGAGAGGGTACAGTTTGGCATGCCATTTACTGTTGCTGGTTCAATCCACCAATCCATCGATTTTTAGGAGTAAATTGAACCACCTTTATGGGACGTAAAAATGGCAAAATCACCTTTCAGAAACCCACGAAAAAAAATCAAGTATTCATCAACCAAACAGTCCGAAAAAACACCATAAATAAATATCACCAGAACCATATTAGCAAATCTGGTCTGGTGTATCAATTTATCACCATTTCTATCTGAATACTTCATACAATTAATCGAAATCTGACGGCACAGGTTTCGATTTAGTGCTCTGATTTTCTGTCATTGAAACAATACTTCGCTGTATTTCACATCTAGATGCATCGTGAAAATGATTGCCTTGGCCACATCACATCCCAATGATGAAAAATACCTCTATCCTGTTAATTGTGGGTTAGTTCATAGTCAACAATTAACTAGGTAGCCTTCTCGCCTTCATTAATACATAAAAAATAATGGTAGCAAAATCCAGAACGACATATATATGTAAAAACAATCATGCGCCAATATACTGTATTTATTCCCCGTGTTGAGGATTATGTACAGGGATGGGCAAGAAATCATCATCATCATCATCATCATAGGGGATAACCAATCATCATGGGGATAAATCATCATTGGGTTTTCGGTTTTCACCAATATATTGCAGTAACCCCTGATGGTAATCCTTATTACTAATCATTACCAATCACTAGGAGATGACCAATCAATTTTTACCGGATCAGCCCTCCAATCATGGCTGATAACTGACGTTTGTACAGCATGCATGTCAGGCGAAGCATGGACTTCTCTTGCTGCGGAATGAAAAATGAAATGACCAATCAATAGGAAGATGATTTGCCAATCATTATCAATCTATGATTACTTATCATTACAAAGTATTAATCATTATCATTAGGGGATAACCAATCAATCATTCCCACATGATTATCAAATTTCCCAAAGATATTCCCAATCAATATTCCCAAATATCATATATGCCATCTGACAATTAGGGGATATGCCATCATTAGGGGATTACTTATCATCAACATAGGGATTCCCAAACATCCACATATCCATAAATATATATATATATTCTCAATCAAAATTTCCAATCAATATTCCCAAAGATTTTCCCGATCTTTTTTTCAGATAAGAAGATGATTTCTTCCCCATCTGCCACGACAAAAGGCGACCGCCCTCCGACCGCCTCGGAAGATGGAGTCGCTGCGCACGATGTACGTGGCGCCGCCGGCCTTCTCTAAGGGAATGACATCACCTGGCGTGGTGGAGATGACCGCTAGTGACATGGGATTCACCCGTAATGGTAATATATATAAATATATTTATATTATTATTCATAGATATATTATTATTATTATTATTATTATATATATATATACACACGTATATATTATACATATGTGTTAAATGTTGTATGGGTTACATTGGCATATATTGGCGTACTACCAATGAATGTGTATATGTATATGTGGATATATATATATATATTGCTATTATTGTTATGATGATGCAGCTTGATAAGTCCGGATCTATTTTTCTAGCTTCTTCAAACGATCTTTCTCTGTCCCTCTCTATATTGTGTGTATATACAATATACACATGCATATGGGGCTCCATATCATGCATAGACATCCATCGCATCACAATTGATGATGCATCAAATCAGTTTGGTGGGTATCTCCCATTAGTTTCCATTGGACGATTCAAGAGAGCCGGCAGTTTCCCGCCATGGCATGATGAGTGTATGATACATTGGTGGTGTGACCGTTGGTTGTTGGAAGCCCGAGCTCCAAATAAAACATTATTAAACAAACCACTGGTTGGTTGAAGCCAGAGGCCCTGAGTAGAATTCCCGTGGAAAATACTTAGTGGAGACCTGGAGACTTCTTGGATTCGTATTCCCGTGTGCCACCATTTCCAGGAAGAGCACATTCACGAATTTCGCTTGTACCAACCCTGGGGACTCTGTGCGTACCATACCTTTCAAAACTTCTCCACCTCCTCCAAGTCACCAGCTGTTTGTTTGGAAATTGGAATTCTTGCATGCTGTTCTGGAAGGGGGTTGCACTCAAGAGAATGCGCTTGCCAGCGAAAGCAAGATGGCGTGCACTGCGTCCCAAATAGGAAAAATCATGATGTCCGAGCGCACCAACCTGCAATTATCTGCAATCAAAATCCAAGTCTTGTCACTTCAGAATGGATAGTTGACCACAATTTGGGGTAGATGTTCCACAGTGACCAGTGATAGATTGATTAAAGCTGCTGTACTTTTGAATATCCTGTTTCTGACATCAACTACTCGAATTATGGCGTTCTTGGACAACATGTCAGGACCTTTTAATAACGGCGTGTCACTGACCCTGAATCTCTGAACATTCTTGCTGCAACTCATTTCCATCGTGGATCACTGATACTCAAGTGACTTTCCATGAAAACCAATAACTGCAATATCTCCAGGGGTTGGAACACGTCTATCTCACACCTTATAACACCCAAAAGGATAGAACAGTGTTTCGAGGATGTTATAGATGATGTTTCCTCTATAATATTTTCCAAGTTTCCAACTCTTTGGCACCTTTTTGGGGGGTTGCTATGCATCTTGCTTCCACCAAAGGCGCCTTTGGACGTCATGAGATGGGGTAGGTGGCGATGATCGAAACTCACCAGTTTACTTGGGATACTTTCAGCACCTGGGCACAGGAACTGGTTGGGAAGTGGATTTATCATCAATGGCCATGCAACGGGAACCGATTGATTGGAGGTACCTACCATTTTTTAAGGCCCAAATTTCAGGGGAATATCCCCACAACATATGGCCTATATGGTCCAGTACCTCCATTTTAGGATCCTGAAATTCCCATTGATATAACTGAGAGTCACTGGGTTATAAGTGGTACGCGTGAGTATCAGATGTTAGCAAGTGTTGCAATCCAGTTCAACCCCCTTAGATTTGGGGTCTGCAATTTTCAGCTCCAATATTAAACCAAGATTTCGATTGGGGAGTATTTAAAATTTGGGGGGACCAGATCTGGGAGTAAGTAGAAATAGTTCTCTGAGTGGGAAAAGCCTCACAGACTTAGGATCAGGAGTAGAGTAGCACTTACAATTTGTGGGAGAATCTTCCAGGTGCTGATTGGCGGCCAACAATTGCTGCACCCTGGTGGAATCCAAGACAGTTGACAAGAAAAAAGTCATGAATCTAAGGTCATCGAAAAAAGGATCTTCAGATCGAGCAGATTCAACTACCCAAGGCCCAACAAATCGCAACATCTCCTGACCCGTCCCTCCCGTTTTCGCTCCACCGTGGTCCCTGACGCATTTGATCTTCGACCACCTCTTTACAGGCAGTGCTCACCTGGCAAGCTTCAATGGATCCCAACGCCTTCGGAACTTTGGAATTGGGAACTACAAAATGAGAATTCGTTTCAACTTTCAATTCAATCGCTATCTTATAGCTTTATATATTATACATATTCGATATACAAGTTATGGTTTGATAGTGGCCTTCTCCAGAATTCAGACCTTAACCGATGAGGAAAAAAGAGACTCGGTGGGTGTCATCGGCAAACCTCGAACTTTGGAACCCTTCCTTCCAACTTTTTGGCAGGACTTTCAAAATATTCTCGGATTTTCAATACAGTTTCGGCTCTGTTCAAGGCCAAAAAACAACGCTAAAAACTGAGGACGGTTTTGATCACATGCTTCATCCACAAGCTCCCCGGCTGACTGGTTTTGCCCTGTTGTATCAACAGATCAGTATGTGTTCCAAATTTGATTGGTTCTATGTTCCTGGTTCTTGTTGAACATTTCCCCTTGCCTCCTATTTCTAGTGATTAAGTTCCATGCTTTGATGGTTGTAATGTCTGGCTGTTGGTTGTATACACTTTTTACAGCCAAGGGTTCCAAATTTGCAAAAAAAGAATTGTATCGTCATGGTACGTAACAGGAAACATCAGCAAAACACCCCCACGAAGTCGTTCAACAGAAAGAGACAGTCTGAGGTCGTGTGCTCCACAATGACGGCTAGATGAGCCGAGAACTCGTCCAACAACGTCGCAGTAGCCAGCTCTGTCATCCATAATGATGCAGTGTCCGCTGACAACGACGATATCGAGTCAAGCATTGAGCGGGTGGGTCGATGGTAGTCCCAAGATTTGTGGTCGATCGTGTCCAAAATCGCCACATCTGATTGCAGGGCCACCCATGAGCGCGCAAAGATGGACGTAATCTTGGGTAACCAAGCCTAAGTGCCGTGCACTGACAGCAGTTGGCAACCTGCACTGTCAACTCCGGGGCATCCTCAGTAGTACCAACGCCCACATTCGAAATGTCGGAATCAGTGTCAGCAAGATCAGCCACATCAGGCAGGCAAGTGTCCATATGACAAGGATCCAAGGCTGTGTGTCGGATGTTGACAGGCTTGTCAACCAGTAGTTTGGCACCACCTCTCAACAAGGGAATGACGGAACGGAAGCCACGGGTAATGCGATGCACCAACTGTCGCTGCAGGTCCAATGCTGCATGAACATCATCCCGTCCACAGAGTGCCACATTTTGTCTGGCCTCCGAAGCACGGTGATGACCTTGAGACATGCGTGCCTCTTCTGATACGCCAATCTGGCGGGCCCAACTGAAGGTGACCTTGGGAGAGTGGACACCTATGCTAATCAATGACATCCCAGGAGAGCATGATAGCAGAAACCTCTGGATCAAAATGCCCTGCGATTAACACATCTGGCAGGAAGCCAGCTACTCCCACATACGAACCAATCAAATTCAGGACTAAAACATTTAATTTGAGCAGTATTCACGACCCACTGTCATAGGGGTTTCCAGGATCATAATCACAATGAACGTGGTAAAACCATGCTTCTTGCTCCAGCCTTTACGGTAACAGGCCTCTAATCCCTGTATTGTTTGTGAATCGCCCTATTAATGGTAGTTCAATCATGAGGGAATTGGTGGTTTCAACCCCCCCGAAAAAAATATTAGTCAGGTTGGATCATCATCCCAACTATTGGGAAAAATGGTTCCAAACCACCAACCAGATAAGTTACAACCATAATCCCTCCACCAATCAACCCACGGAGTGGGTCAACCGCCTGCACGCAGCCTTCCGGTGCTGTGGACTCTAGAACCTTCGAAAAACACCGCGGGATTGATGGTAAGAAAAATGGAAAGTGGACCTTGAAATCTCAAACATGGGCCCCTCTGGCAATCTGTTGCATTTTGAAGATTGTCCGTTTATGGATGATTCAAAGGATAAAGGATCAACTCTTGAGACATTTG